CCCCCCCCCCAAGAGCAGACCCTGTTTCCCCAACAGACCTTTGGACCCCTTCCACCAAACGCTCCCTGCCCAGGGAAGTGGCAGGCCCCCGTGCTGGGGTGGGGGCAAGGCAGATGGGTCTTCTGGAGTTGGGGGGAGATTCCTCCTCCACCCCAAAGGCCCGGAGGTTTCCTGCCATCCCAGCCTTCCTTTTGGGTCGGAGGAATCACTACACGGGGGGGAGGCCGGGACAGCCACTCTTCCTGGTCCCCCGTTGAGCCTCTCTCTGGTGCCATGGGAGGAGTGACCGCAGAGAGGCTGAGACCCCTCCTCTCAGGGCCAGCCTTGCCTTCCACGCCTGGCCTGGGGCACCACCGGCGCCTGCAAGATGGAGGCCAGGGGCCTGGGGAGACCGATCCTCGCCCCTGGCTTCCCCCTCTGCAGAGGCCGTTTAAAGCCACGCTTCCTTGGCAGAGCCCAGCGCCAGCTGGCAGGTGGGCATGGCCGCCTGACCTCCTTCAGATCTGAACGTGGGAATGATTTGGCAAAATGCATGTTTTTCAATCAAGGAAGCTATTTGCCTCCCCGAAATTACACATTTGCTCCTCTTTGGGCCCCACAGGTGGCTGGAAGCCGGAAACTGATATACCTGCTGCTCACAGATGCACCTGCCCTCCCCCCCCCCAATTTATTCGGCCAGAACCTCAAGCAAGTGACACCCATTCTCTGCCAGGCCCTCTTTATGCTGAAGGAAGCCTATCCAGGTGGCAAAGAGGAGATATCCCGGGGAGGACAGAGGGGTGGGTACAGGGGGTCCTTGACTTACAACCATTCATGAGCTGAGCCTCATGGCCAACCCCGAATGGCCACAGCCTGGGTCTCCGGGGCCGGCTCAAGAGGGGGCACCCTGGCACGGCTGCTGTGCCAAGATCCAAACCTTGGCAGCTGGGCATCCCTCAGGTCAGAGCTTTGAAAAGACGCAGGGCCTGGAGAAGGGGGCCTTTGCTGCATGGCAGCCCCCCTCTCACTGCTTGTGAAAGCTGAAGCCGGACTCTCGGCTGAACAAAGGAAGCTTCCTCCAAGCTCCGTTCCCACATGACGTGCCAGGAACTCAAGGGATGGGCCTCTCGTTCCCCCCCACAGGACCCAGTGAAGCTCATGAAGTCTCTTGAACCGGCCGCATCCCCTGAAGGTCTCTGGAGATTCTCAGCCACCCAAAGGGACTCACCTGGACTGTTTCTCCTCTGGAAGTCGTTTCTCTTCCCATCCAAGAAGCTTCTTCAGTCCCCCCCCCATCCAGCCCGAACGGAAGAAGCTTCTTGGATGGGAAGAGAAACGACTTCCGGAGGAAAAAAGACACAGGAAGCCCCGTCGTCACCTTGAGCCCCAACGCCTCTCCTCTGAGCACCGCCCTTCCCTCCCCACCATCGGGGCCCACGCGAGAGCCCAGCACTGGGGCCACCAACCTTCTGAGAGCCGGGCTGGACGGCCGTGATGTACACGGGGTCCACCAGTGGCTTTGGCCGCTTGGCCGACTCCTCGATGATGCCCTGCCATTGCCTGGGCAGCCCCGTGAACTTCTGCTCCTGCTGGTCGTAGCCCGTGTGGACCCGGTGCTCGAAGTTGGAGGGGGCCGAGATCTCGATGCGCTTCTTCCTTTTGGTGAACATGGTGAGGTTGGCTAGGAGACCTGGAAGGAAGAGGGGAAAAGATCTTAGTGGAGCGAATCTTCTTATAAGTCAGCAGCTCGAGAGCCCAGCGTGGGACCCCCCACCCCCACCCCGTGTTCCC